GGTTCTTTGACAATCAGAGTTTGTCACTGGTGGAGTTCAGTGCCCGTGCGTTGAACACCTGGTGTGTGCCATGTGCCAGAGCTGCCACATTGCGGAACTCTAAGGAGGACAGTTCACATCCTATTTCTCTGCTCCAGGGGAGCCTTTCATGTGCAGCATGTGAGTGCTCTCCCTGGATCTGTGCAGTGAGGAGTCAGCCAGCACGGGTGTCCACTTGTTTGCTTCTCCTTCCCTCCCTCCTCCTCTTCCCCTCTGCCCACTTCCTCTTTCTATACAAATATGAAACTAAATTGTGGTACCTTCCTTTAAAGAATTTAGAGCTCGGTAAATAAAAACAGGTATAGGAAGTGCTGTGATAAAAGCTCTAGAAACCCAGAAGGGGGGGCATTGAAATTAGGCAAGAGCAACAGCCTTTATGTGGACATAGAGGCAGGAGGGCATGTTTGACCCGCAGGGAGCTAGAAATAGTTCGTAAAACCTAATAACGCACAAGCTGCGCCCGTTACAACCTAGAATTATCCCCAAAATAAAATCAAATCTAGAATTCCTATTATCTGGATTATTACTGAAGAGTGTCCAGGAGATTGTTGCTAATGTGCAGTATAGAACTTTAATTTCAGGTAACAATAATCGTATGCCTAAAAAATCCCAGGAAAGGAAACTGTCATAAATGGAGATACGTTTAACCTTTGCATGGTGAACACTACCTTTGCATGGTGAATACTGCTGCTATTGAAATTTCTGTTTGAAGAAGATAGATAAATTGCTCAACAGTCCTATCTGGAAAAGTAAGTAGATGAAAATCACTAAGAACTGTTTTCAAAGCTAATGTAAAACTAGATGAACTATTTTTTTTTTTTTAAAGATTTTTATTTGTCAGAGAGATAGCGAGAGCAGGAACACAAGCAGGGGGAGCGGGAGAGGGAGAAGCAGGCTTCCAGCGGAGCAGGGAGCCCGATGCGGGACTCGATCCCAGGACTCTGGGATCGTGACCTCAGCCGAAGGCAGATGCTTAACCGACTGAGCCACCCAGGCATCCTGATGAACTACTTTTAAAAGGTAGTATAAACTTGATAGGTGTACAATTAGTAGACAGATCAGTGGAACAGACTAACCCAGAAACAGACTTTAGTACATACATGAGGACTTAAAACATTTTGAGGAGGACATAAGTCAGTGGGAAAAGGATTATTCAGTAAGTAGGACAGGCATTTTTTAGCCTTGCTGGTAGAAGTGCATATTGTTATATACCCTTTATATAGGACTGTTTGGCAATCTCTGTGAAACTTCCAAATGCACATAACTTTGGCCTAGGATATTCGGATTCCCCAGGGAAACAGAACCAGGAGGATACACATTTTTTATCACGTGTAAATATAAATGTTACACAAATATAAAAGCCTTACTGTGAGGAATTGGCTCTCATAATTGCTGGAAGCCGAGAACTGCCATGGGCTGCCATCTGCAAGCCAGAGAACCAGGGGAGCCAATGGTGTGAATCCCACTGAGGGCAGATGAGATAAGATGTCCCAACTCAAGGCAAACAAAAGCGGCAGATTCCTTCTTGCCCCAGCTTTTGTTTTATTTGGGCTTTCAGTAGATTGGATGATGCCCACCCCCACTGCAGAGGGCAATCCACTTAGTCCACAGGTCGAATGATAGGAGAACATCCTCACAGACACGAAATAATGTTTATTTGGGCACCCTGTGGCCAGTCATGTTGATAAAAAATTAGTTATCACACCCAGCAATTCCACTTCTAGAAATTTCTACTGATACAAATGGACATGTGCAAAATTATATATTTGTAGGTCTGTATTCATTGCAACTTGGTGATATCAAAGGAGTGGAAACAACCTAAATATCCCATCATGGATAGGGTAAGCCTTATGTTCTGTGCTTCCTAACAGTACCAGGTTATACCTGCTATTTTTTGTGTAATTATTAATGCTCCTTTTTTTTTTTTTTTTAAGATTTTTATGTATTTTAGAGAGGGGAGAACTAGAGGGGGAAGGAGTAGGAGGGGAAAGAATCCCAAACCGACTCTCTGCCAAGCCCGCGGTGGGCTCCACAACCGTGACCTGAGCCAAAACCGAGAGTGGGTCACTCAGCTGACTGAGCCACCCAGGCGCCCCTATGAATGCTCCTTTCAACTCTCACGTGTTCCACTTTAGATAAGGAATTACTTAGTCACCCTAATCATAAAGGACTGGTTAAATAAATTACTGCGTTTGCCCAATGGGAAAAAGAATGGAGAAATGCTTTAGTTACTGACATAGAAATCCAAGACATGATGTTCGATGAGAAAAGCATGGTGTGAAATTGCATGGTGTGCTGCAATTTATATGTAAGAAAAAATACACGTGTACATTCATGTTTGACTGTATATAGTAGAGAAGGACCTGGTAACACTGGTAACCTCCAAGGAGTGAAGCCAGGTACCTGGGGCACAGGGATCCCAGAAATGAGCCTTTTCACTGTAAACTGCATTGGTGGTTTTTGAATTTTTCGCTTCAAAAGTCGTAAAATATTCCAGCAAACAAAATCGTATGGTGATGGGGTATTTGGAGAGGGAAATCGTATCAGTCAGGGACTGCCAAAGAAACAGAAGCAGGAGGATAGATGTGTATGAAATGTATTTCACTGGGTTATGTGATTGTGAAGGCCGGGGTTATCAGTCACCCCGGCCAGGAGGCTGGGCCAGAAGGCTGGGCAACCTCAGGCGGGAGCTGAGCTGCAGTCTTCAGGCAGAAGACCCGATTTCCTCCTGGAAACCTCAGTTTTGCTCTTAAGGCCGGCCTTTCAACTGACTGGATGAGGCCTGCTCATATTACGGAGGATAATCTCTTACTTAGACTCAGTGGACTGTAGATGGACGTTAAGCACACCTACAGAATACAAAGCAACATGTAGATTCATGGTCTATTGAATAATGGGGGACTGCAGCCTTGCTAAGTTGACACCTAGAACTAACCTTCACAGTCTACCCTTGTCAGCTTGGCATCATAAGACATCTTCCTAAAGCACACTTAGCCTCCAAATAAAGTCAGTAACCAAGTTGTATTTCTGTCATCAAACGTCAAACAACTAACCCACATACAGAGAACATGTTCACTCTCCCCAGAAGAGGATGCAAAGTTCTTGGGTGATGTTCACTTTTCTCCTTCGTATATTACAGTTTAAATGCTGTGATGTAAGGTTAACCACATTTAATACATCTTATGTTAGATGATAAGAGGATACAAGAGGGAAGAAAAAAATTTTCTTAGTATGTGTGTATTTATAATACATATTTGTTATGTACACACAAAACAAGGAAGAAGTGTAATAATCACAGGCCTTGTTTCTCAACTGAGTATGTAGCTGTAGCTGATGATTATAACTGCCTTCCATTACCCATTCCATACTCCCTCTGCCCTCAGCGAGCACGTCAGCTGGTCACGGTCTGCCTGTGGGGTGACCCAAACCTTTATTCCTGAAGAATCCAATCCTTAACTGAACTGTAGTTTTCCATTGACTTTAGTCACAGGACTCGGTGGCACTGAGATCCCCTAGAGGTCGTGCTGTGTTGTGAACGTACTCTTCCCTCCGTGGTGCAGTCCCAGCCCCTTTCCCCCCTGGTAATTCGGATCGGTCACCCCGGCCGGTACAGCCATTCCCTTCCTTACCTGTTGTATCAGAGACAGGAGCCCAAAGTAGCTGGTAGCAGTCTTAATGTCCCGTTGAATAGATCATTGGTGTGTCTCCTGGTGGGAGCATTCCTCCCTTTGGAACAAGAACCTCTAGACTAGCACAGCCTAAGAACTTGGGGACACCGCCCCAGCCCAGCTAGGTACTGCCTCCCACCCCAGGGAGTGCTGTAACTGAGTCTTCAAAAGTCCGTTCCGCCATTCTATCGGGCCTGCTGCTTCAGGATGATGGGGAACATGGTAAAACCAACAAATTCCATGAGCAATATGAGAAATCTATTGCCTCCACAATCCAAAGAGGCCCTTTAGGTGTTGTGCCTCTTTTTTGGCTGTGAAAGGGGCCCGATGCAGCAAGTTGGCCTTCACCTCAGAAAAGCGCTCTCGAGCTGTCCCATACCACCGGAGCCCTAAAATTCCAGTGAGGTGGAAAGCTCCCGAGTTTTTGCTGAATTTATTTCCCACCCTCAGACAAATGTCTCACCACTAAGTCTAGAACAGTTGCTACTTCTTGCTCCTTAGGCCTGATCCGTATAATGTCATCAACGCAGTGGACCCATGCAATGTCTTAGGAGAAATGTGATCAAGGTCAAGGGCGGTGGGGACGAAATGATGGCATAGGGCCGAACTGAAGTAGGGTAAACCTCTTGAGGTAGGACAGCGAAAGGTGGATCGCTGGCCTTGCCAGATAAAGCCAGCTGCTTCTGGTAGTCTTTACTAACAGCAAAAAACATTTGCCAGATCAACAGCTGCATGTCAGGGACCAGGGGCTGTGTTAACCTCCTCAAGCAATGGAACCACATCTAGAACTGTAGCTGCAGTGTAGTCACCACCTGATTGATAATCCACGGTCAGTTCTCTAAGATCCATCTGTTTTCTACACAGGCCAAATAGGTGGGCTGCATGAGGATGTGGTGGGGGTCACCAGCCCTACATCCTTCAAGTCCTTGATGGTGACACTAAGCTCCGAGACCCTTCCAGAAGTGTGGTATTGCTTCCGGCTTACTCTCTTCCTAGGCAGAGGCAGTTCCAATGACTTACGTAGTATATGTTATGTTGTCTTATAGGTTAGCTTGACCTCTTCATGTCAGAACCCCTCCAAAAATGACTCTATCCCTGCTGAGGTGTACTCTCCATCATAGGGCTTTGTGTGCCTCACGGGCAGAATTTGTCTTACTTCCATACGTTATCATGTATGTATTTGTTATCTTTTCCTTATTTAACTAAGAACTCCCTCAGGACCGGCACTATCTCTAACGGAAGTGGGTTCTTCATGGCCATTTATGACATTAATCAGTCGTATTTCTTTTTAAATTACAGATATTAAAAATGTATTTTAATAGCAAAATATTACAGGCACAGCAAAATGCTCTTTTTAATAAACTTAACCGAAGAATATAAATAAACATGACATATTTTACAAAAGGTTAAGAACGGTATTACCTACACAAAGAAAAACTCTTGGTTCTAAGAAAACAAAACCTAAGCCTCACATCTCTGAGGATTCATTTGCAACTCCTTACTTGGTGAACCTGACAGAATACATTTTAACTTGACATTTGCTTTATCTCATATGATACACACATAACAAAATACATTAAAAGCCTTGTTGAAATACACAAAAATGTAATATAACTTCTGAGTCCTGGATGTTTAAATAACAGAAGAAACTTACTTATCAAGGTATGCACTTGGACTGCAAAAGCAGTGTTGTATCAGAGCTTTGCACCATACTCTTTTTTATTTTGGGGTCTCCACTTTTATCTCCCTTCAAACGTCTTACCTAAAAAAGCAGTATTAATAATTAGATAAGGGAAGGGGTTAGAATCTATGAGTTCTGGATGCCAGCATCTTGTTTCCCGATTTCAACCCCCTTATTCTAGCTTGAAAATGCGGTGTAACACATCATCATATATTTCACGTGGATTTAGTGTTGCTCCTTCAACCGGCAACAGAAGTTGCTCCTGAAGAAGGGCTCAGGGTGCTCGGCGATCTCAGTGCAAGGGGAATCTTACTTCCCCTTGGCCCACAGGGACAGCTCACCCAGGGGGCGAGATTGGCATAGCGCATTCTTCTCTGCTTGAGAAGTCTCTCCGTCTGTGTGCAGAAATGTTGGATGCAGACAACTTGGTGCTTCCAAGTGCTCTATTATTGTTATAGTGATAATAGTCATGCCAATTATTATTATTAAACTCCAAGGTATCTACTATTTTATTCCCTTCCCTCACTTTGTTTTCTTACTTTAAAATGTTTCCCCCTCCCCAAAATGATTAAGAGATGTTTTTTAGGCTTTACCTTCCTTTATCTTTATCATCCTACCTGACGTCCTACAGGACATTTAGTTCTCACAGGCTTACTATTAGAAGGGAAGGCAGGATCCACTAGATTTCTGAGCCTTTAACGAAGGGAAAATAAATTACCGCGAACATTTCCCATTTTAGTTTTGGAAATCGTTTTGTTTTCTGTATTAAAAAAAAAAAGCAAAAACAACGCACCCCCACCCCCAGTCTTTGGTGTTTGCTATTTCCATATACTTTCTGTAGAAGCAGTCAGAGGACGCAGCTGTCCCCTTCCCGGTGGACAGCAAGACCCGGATGTCGATGGGCTGACCAGGATGCAGAATGGGACTCCAGGCAAGTAATGTCAACCAGCTTGGGGACCGCAGTGAGGGAAAACAAAAACCCTTGATCTTCTCTGGCGCGCTCTAAGAGCGAGCATGCCTGGGCTGGTAGTCTCATCGGTTTCCATCAGATCGGTGACGCTTTGGTCTTCTCCAGGAGACGACAATATCTTGAAGGGCAAGCAGTGACCCGTGAGTCTGCAAATGTGGTGGGTTCTGAAGGGTCCAAATCCGCATCTGCTTTTATTTGTTTGGAAAGAAAAGTCCTCAGTCAGCTTTCCTGCGGGTCACAGCGTCAGGGACCATGCCACCCTGCTCCTGGGTCAGGGCGTCCTGGGTCAGGAAAGGTCTACTTAAAGATGAATGACCGAGACCGGATTGTGCCTTCCCTTTGATCGAGCTGCTTTCTTATTTGAGACTGTAATAAAGCAAACACACATGGGTATTGACTATTGAGCAATTTTAAGATAGTGAACTTAATAGATATTAAATAAGACCTGCTGTTACTAAGGACACCGTACAACTATAAATTAATCAACGTGACAATTTTCAGTATGGTTTTCTGTATTTTTCTCAGGATAAATATTGTGAGGTCGTTGCTAAAACATGTGCAAGTTGGGAATCTAAATTTATTGATAGGGAAAAATGTTTATAATACATCATCAGTGGAGTGCACAGGTAAAGAACACGAAAGAATGATTAATTTTTTGTTTTTGAATATTTATTTGCACAGAGAGAAGTCTGCAAGTGTGTGAATTTGATATATTTTTGCCTTAACTTTTCCTCTAATAATGATGTGTCACTTGCGTAATTACAAAATACGAAGAATAAAAAGTTGACTCATATCTGAGCAAATGTTTGACGTGGCAAAATATTTCCCCATTGAATATCAAATACATAGGGGCTATCTCAAAATCAGTGGTATATGTATTTGGATTTCAAACTGAGAAGATAACCAAAAGCAAAAGTCCCAGCATCTGGAAAAGAATACTCAACAAGTTTCTACATATCAGCTAATTACATAAAAACAAATTAGGAAAAATTGTTTACGTTCGAAAACATCAAGGGTTTCAAGATGGTATTTATGGAAAATTTTAGAAGGCTTTAAGGACAAGTTCTTGATTAACAACTCACTAAGCTGCAAACACATACACACAAAAAATGTATGAGACTGGTAAATTTTTTTAAGCACTTTTTCTCTCCCCCCTCCACCCCCGGGAGGTATATAGGAAGCAAATCAAATAAACTACATTTTGTCCTTGATCTTCACAAAGTAACACACTGCAAGCTAAGTTAAGTTCCTCCAGCAAGCTTCCTTCTCTGACTATTTAAAAGGATTTTCTACTATAGAAATACATTAACTTTCCTCTGTCTGACCTTCTGATCCCACATGTCCTCCTCCAGGCAAGGCTGGACTGACCAGGCAGCACACTCAACGAAGACTAATGTACTTGAGGGCCTGAGGCTAAGGCTCGGGGGCTGAGATCCCAGGGTAGCTCTGTCCTTTCTCTTTTACCCCCGCCTGCGTGCCTTCTGTGTCTCACAAGAATGAACAGACTATTCCATGAGCCTGTCAGTGGACATCCCATTGACTCTTGGGAATAGTCCGACACTTTCAATAGAAATATGTTTGAATTTGTCAACATGTTATTTTTGAGTACTAGGCATCCAGAGGACTTAGTATAACTCACCAGTTTCCAGCGTAATATCTTGATCCACTCATCAGCTTCTACTCCTGTCTTTGCACAGAGATAAAACGTCCTGAATGGAAACACTAAGCTGAGAAGACAAAAGAAAACTTAAGATATTCCAGGTGGTTGGTTGAATATATTAGTTGAACAGTAATTAGAATATTCAACAGGAAAAAAGACTCAACAAAGAGCAACTTGAAGACTTGTCAGATACACAGCGATTCCTGCCAGCAAACAGCAGAAATGTTGAGGAAGCTGGAGATTCATATTATCACCGGCCAGATTTATATTTTCTAATGAGAATTCAAAAAAGAAAAAAACATGTCCAGGACACCCCCAGATCCCTTTGTCGCTTATGTCTTAGACTGAATACAACACTTGTGTGTTTATTCAGCTGATGTGTTAAATGACTCAGAACCTGTGCCGTGAGTCAAAGAATAAGCAAGACAGATAAGAATTTGCTGAAGAAACTCATTTGTGTTGGCTTGATTCAATGAGAAACAAGTTACCCTCTGTGGATGCAGGCAGTTTTAACCATTTGGGACAGGAAAAATAAGATAATAAATCTCCTCAACTATTCATTTTGCCCGCTCTGTCATGAATTACGCTCTGCTGGAAGAAGACAAACTTTCCCACTGGCATGAACAACTCTTCGTTGACTGTATCTTTGGCTATATAGTCAAATCTTTTGACTAATGAGGTCAGCACATCGTGCCCATACTTCCCGTCCTTACAGTTGACGTGCAAAACACTACAAATCCTTTTTCCCCCTCTCGTGAAAAAAAAAAAAAAAAAAAGCCTTGACCTGAAATTCAGGAGGGTTTCTATATCCCTAGAGCCAAAGCAGCATATCATGTTCGTATCAGTAATTAATGTTGAATAGACAAGATGTAATTCCCTGTGTATAGAAGGTAAACCTTGATGTGAGGACCTATTGGGCAGTGAGGGGACAGTGGAGCGGGGGTGGGGTTACCGTGCTCACACTGTACAAAACTGCTTTCTGGAATTGTCATTGTTTGGTACTCCCTGTGAGAGACATTGTTAATTGCCTATTAATGCAGATAATGTTTCCTTTCTCCTTGCTAACAGAACCCCAGGCAATAAATGATAATTAGCTGGAGCCAATCATGATCTTAACTAGTTTTCTAGCTTCCCCTGCTGCTAGTGACGGCCATGGGACCCAACCTTGGCCAATGAAAGAGGAGGGGAAATCTGACAGAAGATTTCTGAGAAAATGTCTGCCTTCCTGATAAAAAGGGACAGACATGGCTGATACCATCCCTACATCCTTCTTTATGACTGACACGAAAATGTGAGGCCTAAAGCTAGAGTAGCTCTTTCACACCAAAGTAGCAAGTGAACTGCTGAAAGCCAAGAGGATTGTAGAGACGCTGGTGCCCATCTTGCCAAGCTAGCTACCTGCCTCCTGATATTTTGTTATATAAGAAATTACCTCCCCCTGCTGGCTCGTATGGTACATTTAAGTGAATTTTAAAAAGATATCCATTATTGGTTGCTGTTAATGTTAATTAACTAATGTTAATTTTGGGGGGTATGTAATGGTGACATTTTTATTCTTAGGAAGTGCGTACTCAGTATATGTATATAGGGGTAAAGTGCCACGATGTCTCCAATTTACTTTCAACTGGTTCAGGAGAAAAGTGAATAGAGATAAAGCAGATATGGCAAAATATTAATGATGCATATAGCTGAAAGGTATACGGGTATATAAGTCTTTCAACATTTGTATGTTTGAGAAACATTAAAATAAAACTTTGTGGGAAGTAAGACACTCCTTTTTCAAGACACTACTTCTCCTAGTTAGAAAATTGCTATGATACACTCATGAGGTTAGAACAAAAACACTTTTGTGCCATCTGCCAGAAATTGTCCCATTGTTGGAGTCAAAATTAAAATTGAGTAAAAAGCTTCAAAGGAGTAAGACATGAATGGAATCCTGTTATGTATATACTTACGCAGCATACAACATAAACAGTTGTAGCCACTGGACCTGCCTATTTGTTTAAGTCACCTTATTTATTTTTAAGGATTTTATTATATATTTGAGAGAGAGCATGAGCAGGGGAGTGGGAGAGGGAGAAGCAGACTCCCCACTGAGCAGGGAGCCCGATGTGGGACTCGATCCCAGGACCCTGAGATCATGAAGTGAGCCGAAGGCAGACACTTAACAACTGAGACACCCAGGCATCCCCCGGTTGAAGTCACTTTAAATGAGGTATTATGTCACACTCAGCTAGAAGCACTGCTGACATACATGCCCTGTGTGTTAGTTAAATCCATGCCCCTCAGATCAAGACACTCATACACATTAAGACATACAGGTCTTTTTTGTTTCTTTCTTTTTTTTAATTCCCCAGCTAAAATAATTGGCAAGAAGACTTTTAAAATCATTTTCTTTACAAAACAACTTACCAAAAACAATTTACTCTTTCCTGTGAATAATCAAATTGCACAGCCGAACATTCTGTCAAATCTAGGATCCGAATTGGTTCTGGTGACTTTAAAAAAAAAGAAAAAAGGCAACCTATGTCATCACAAAAAAACACACAAATCTGTTCATCACTTAGTCCCCTAAAAATCTTCCACTGCGTGCACCTGTCAATTTTACTTTCACTAAGGGTACTGATCACAAAGAAGCTTAATCAGGGCAGTCATAACCCCCGGTTTGGGGATTGGCTATTCATGAGACTGGATGTTAGGAAGATTGTCTTTATCAATTTAAATTTAGTAGAGGTATTTTAAACATGGAAGGGAGTCATATTTTTTCTTCCGTGTTTTTTTTTTTTTAAAGATTTTATTTAGTTATTCATGAGAGACAGAGAGAGAGAGAGGCAGAGGGAGAAGCAGGCTTCCCGCTGAGCAGGGAGCCCGATGCGGAGCTCGATCCCAGGACCCTGGGATCATGACCTGAGCTGAAGGCAGACGCTTAACCGACTGAGCCACCCAGGCATCCCTTCTTCTGTGTTTTTAAACTTCTACTTTCTCAGAAATTTGGTATAGAAGTGAGAAGAAATAAAATAATTTCAAATTGGCTTAATGAAATGGGCACGGGAAATGGACACGGTTTTTTGTTTATTTTTTGTTTTTGTTTTTTTTAAGTAGGCTCCATCCCCAGCGTGGAGCCCAATGCAGGGCTTGAACTCACAACCCTGAGATCAAGACCTAAGCTGAGATCAACAGTGGGATGCTTAACCGACTGAGCCACCCAGGCACCCCAGAAATGGGCGTATTTTTTTAAAATCTTTTAAAAGATTTTATTTATTTATTTGACAGAGAGAGACACAGTGAGAGGGAACACAAGCAGGGGGAGTGGGAGAGGGAGAAGCAGGCTCCCCGCTGAGCAAGGAGCCCGATGTGGGGCTCGATCCCAGGACCCTGGGACCATGACCTGAGCTGAAGGCAGATAGTTAACTGACTGAGCCACCCAGGCTTCCCATGGACATATTTTTAATAAAGGGAGAAACTGCTGCAGAGAGAGCTCATACATCATGACAAGGGAACAATCCCATTGCCCTAAACAAGGGGATGATGTGCCCTGGGGAGCTAGTTTAGCCAGTTTCTGGGACACACATCTCATCCTTGCAAAAGTACTCTGCTCAAGGCTCCTGGCTGGCTCAGTAGGCAGAGCATGCAGCTCTTGATCTTGGGGTCATGAGTTCGAGCCCCATGTTGGGTGTAAAGCTTACTTAAAAAGAAAAAAAAACTGACCCTATCAGGAATCAAGAATTCACATTTCCAATAATTTATTGGTGTTTCAGGTGCCCATAAGGAAAATTTCAGAGATTTCAAAGGCAGATGTTCCTTCCATTTAGAGAGCTGATTTTTTATTATGTTCAGTTAGAGCTGATTTTTAAAGGGAAAATGTATTATCATGTTTCTCACCATCTGGTCTTTGAAGTATTTCAGTTCATTCCTGTGCAACGTGAACCATCTTGTTTTCCAGGTCTGAGAAAAAAAAATAATTAAAACGTGTAGGTTTTGGATCGAGGAAGGTAATATTTAAACTGGACAATTTCCTTTCATTTGAAAACTATCTAAAAGATTAGGTATAATAAAATATTGTTGCGGTAAGTCATTTCTGAAGAAAAGCTTCAAAATATCTACAAAAACTAAAATGATTCCATGCATGAAGTTCATAATGAAGGCAGAGATATTGACATATTTAAACAAATAAGAAGAAATAGTCTATCATAAATATCCAAGTTGATTTATAACAAACCACGAGATGTCTGTCTTATTAACTCTCTAATAAGAATAGATACCATTTTGTGAGCACCTACTGTGGGCTAGATACCATCCTTGGAGGTTTATGTGTATGATAGCCAATCTTTACACAATGCCAAATATTCTCGTTTCACAAATATGCAATAGGAACCTCAAACCACAGGATTTTTTAAGACTTGCCTAAGAATGCCATGGTATTGGTGGTGGGGACTATTGTTACCCACCTTCTCCCTCTTACGTACTAACTCACTTTTATCTTGGGCAGCAATGTGCCCAGTTAAAAGAAGTAACAGAGAACTGGAAAATAAATATGCTATGAGTATAAATACTTCTTATCCTTAGGGAGCATCCTGTCTAGTAGGGACACAAAATAACCAAATACTTAGGTTGAATTCAAGTGGGCCGGTACCCATGAGAGAGGTTAAGTGCCCTGACTCTTAAAATAGGGAGGAGTGGACATATTCCATGAAGGCCTTCTGGAATATTAACATGAAGCAGCATAACTTGAAAAGTACAATTACATCCATGGAGGAGGGACAGTCGGATACCCCAGACTAGTAAAGTTTTAAATTGTGTTTTCTTTGGGATTTGATAACAGTTACATTAATGCCAGTGGTGTTTTGGCCTACTTTTAGTAAACATTTTATGCAATTTTGACTTCTTCTTTGTTTAAAAAAAAAGAAAAGAAATATTCTAGAGTTAACTTGCTACTTTTCATCCTGCTTGTTCCATTAAAAGGACTGTACATTTTGGGACGTCTTAACGGGAGGCTACTCTCACACATTTGACTTTGCCAAAGAAAAGTCAAGTGATTTTCCAGAATTTTGACTAATATCAGTCGTAAAGATCAACTCTTGAAACAGAAAAATATTATTGCGGGTCAAAATGAGTAGGCAAATATGCATTTTTAAAAAATGTCAAAGCAAGAATTGAGTCTTCATGAGATGTCTCTGTGGCCGGGGCTAGCAGAAACATGTTTTCTTTTTTTTTTTTTTAAGATTGTATTTATTTGCGAGAGAGAGAATGAGAGACAGAGAGCATGAGAGGGAGGAGGGTCAGAGGGAGAAGCAGGCTCCCCGCAGAGCAGGGAGCCCGATGCAGGACTCGATCCCGGGACTCCAGGATCATGACCTGAGCCAAAGGCAGTCACCTAACCAACTGAGCCACCCAGGCGCCCCAGAAACATGTTTTCTTACCTTGACCAGGCCCCCCTGTTTGGTGAGGTAACCTTCTTTGGTGCCCAGCTGAAAAAGAAAAGCACCAAGTGAAGCCCAGAACTATTGCAACATGATTTTTGTCTATTTCTGTCCTATTTTAAAATGAAACACTGATTTGCCTTTGATCTTTAAATAATCACCTTACATTCTTCACCCGGCACTTGAAAATCCTCCCTACGTTGTGGGAGACTGTTTTCAGACTGGGTCATTGGGGGGAATTCTGTAGCAAGAGGCAACAACTGAAAGACTCTTCTAACCTGAGATAGCAATTTGCAAGCAATAAGCCACATCCCATCACTTGTAAAAGTCAGTGTTTGTCAGAGTGTATCGTGTGAAACCCAGCTGCTTAAATTGCTGCAGGAGTACTACGCACAAATATGTGCACGTGGGTATGCGCGCGTGCGCATACACACAGGCATTGACGTTGGGTCAATATATATGGGAAACACTGGATGAAGTAGAGGGATTTCTTTACTTCCCAGAGAATGTATTATGCCAGTATGCCTTGGGAATTTTAAGAAGGAACATGAGAAATAGCATTTCCAATATTTATTTTATCACATGATCCTCCCCCATTTCAGGCCCCCCCCCCACTTTATTCAGTGACCATCTCTTGAGACCTCTGTTCTGTGGAAAAGACTTTCAGGAACGCAGATTTATTTACACTTGATTTATCTAAAAGGGATTTGAAGTGACAATGAGTCATTTCTTAACTCATAGCATTAATTCAAGGGTAACAATATCACACACGTAGCTAGTGCCTATAAAATGTAAGGAATGGTGGGGAACTGGGCAAAGAGAAATAATGCATAAAACAAGAACCCTAAGATGAAGAAATTTAGAACTTCATACAGTCCCAAAGAAACTGAATTCCTGGGGCATCTAGGTGGCTCAGTTGTTAAGCGTCTGCCTTCGGCTCAGGTCATGATCTCAGGGTCCTGGGATCGAGCCCCACATCGGGCGCCCTGCTCAGCGGGAAGCCTGCTTCTCCCTCTCCCACTCCCCCGCTTGTGTTTCCTCTTTCACTATCTCTCTCTGTCAAATAAATCTTAAAAAAAAGAAACTGAATTCCTTGTAGGACATTTTGTTCTAGAATGATGTTACATTGGTAAGATAACAGAACAAAGAGAAAAATGTTGCAGAAGCAAAGGGAACAGAAATCTCACAAAAGGGAAGCTAAGGAAACTGACATTTTATTTATTCATTTTTTTTTTAAGATTTTTATTTATTTATTTGACAGAGACACAGCGAAAGAGGGAACACAAGCAGGGGGAGAGTGAGAAGCAGACTCCCCGCTGAGCAGGGAGCCCGATGCGGGGCTCGATCCCAGGACTCTGGGATCATGACCTGAGCCGAAGGCAGACGCTTAACGACTGAGCCACCCAGGCGCCCCAGAAAACTGACATTTTAGACTGGGACCTATTCTACGTCAGGCTTGTGAAATAGATTATCTCACTTAATCTCCACCAACACAACCAATTGGTCTTTCACGTTTCCCAGGTCCAGAACAGAACTGCTCATTCCCATCCCCCAAACCCACCCCTCCTGCCACCTTGGCCATCTTGGTAAACGTCAGGAGGACCACTGTGTGACTCTCTTACACGTCCCACATTCAATCTGTTGTAAGTCTCATCTCTTCTACCTCACAGCACACCTTGAAGTTCACCAGTTCTTATCCCCACTCCCCAGTTTCAACTACCACCATCTCTCACTGGACTGCTGCAACAGCCCCCTCACCGGTCTCCTTGCTCCAACTTTGGCCACATTCCGTTTTCCACTTAGTGGGGACAATGGGCTTTTTAAAAATTTTAAGACTTAAATTATGTTGCTCAAAACTCTTCATAATTTCTTCTGGACACTTAGAACAAAAATCAATCCTTTATCTTGTCCTACAAGGCCTTTCATGTTGTTTAAAGGAGACACAGCTGACATTTTGGACAGGAGAATTCTTCCCCATGTGTGGCAGCATATTTAGCCTCCATGGCCCCTGCCCATTGCTGGGAAATAATTCTCCAGGGGCTCTCATGTTTCTGTATGTCTTAGGAGCAAGGCACCAACAGCCCTTTGTTCCAGACCCGTATGTATTTTTTTTAAAGATTATTTACTTATTTATTTGAGAGAGAAAGAGAGGGAGAGTGTGCATGAGCAGGGGGGGGCAGGGGAGGGTTAAGTGGGAGGATGGGGGGGAGAGGCAGAGGGAGAGAAAGAAGCAGACTCCCCGCTGAGCAGGGAGCCCAACTCCCAGCACCCTGAGATCATGACCTGAGCTGAAGGCAAACATTTAACCAACTGAGCCACCCAGCTGCCCCTCAGACCCATTTTTAAGCATGTTTGTAGAGCAAACAATCTTAGAAGATGGAGATCATGTCTCCCTCCACAGGAAAAGGCAGCCAACCAGCAGTCTGCCATGAAGCCATGCAGCTTTGTTAGTCTACAAGCAGGGTAAAGTGTCAGGCTCTTCACAGTTCCTGATGCCCGCTAATGCCAGGAGCACCCCCAAAGCACTGCGAATTTCCCAGCACTCAGCTGGGCAGCGGCACTTTGAGGACCCCACCGCCTTACATGATCGACCCCCCCTTCCCTCAGGAATCTCATCTCCTACCACATTGCCTCTCGCTCACTTCATGCCAATCATTAGGATCTTCTTGCTAGTCTTCAAAACACCTCAATTTAGTTCCTACCTCAGGGCGCTTGTCCTGTTCTCTCTGCCTGCAACACTAGAAAACATTGATCATTTTCTGTCTGTATTAATGCACAATAAACTCCATGGATTTGTCATTATATAGTGTGGGTGCAGCCAGGCCCCACCAATCCCTCACCACTGTTTTAAAAACTCCATTATACAGAACCTTCTGTGCATAGGCATATTGAGATACTTGGGCAGGAGAATCCATCCGATCCTTGGAGTGAGCAAAGAAGGTAGGCAGTAAGGCTTGCAGAATTTGGTTTAAAGAGGCCTATTTCTACCTAAGGATGCTAGCTCTCCTGCTTACACCAGCTCTACAAATTAGGTCCTACATTTTAGTGTTGATAAAGAGCACACGTAGTAGGGTATATGGTACAACTGACCCTGGGTGGGGATTTTTAGGGGGAGTGTAGCCGAGGAGAGTGTGAAGTTACATGGAAAGGACAGATGAAAGAGACGTTGAGGGGCACCTGGGTGGCTCAGTTGGTTAAAGCGACTGCCTTTGGCTCAGGTCATGATCTCAGGGTCCTGGGATCGAGCCCCACATCGGGCTCCCTGCTCAGCGGGAAGCCTGCTTCTCCCTCTGCCACTCCCCCTGCTTGTGTTCCCTCTCTCGCTATCTGTCTGTCTGTCAAATAATAAAACCTTAAAAAAAAAAAAAAAGAAAAGAAAGAGATGCTGAGGTGACTGGTGGCACGAGGATGGATAAAGAGGAAAGTCAGGGAGGGGTGGGTTGGCTGGAAATCAAAGAATTGATTAGGATGTACGTCTTGATTTGTTCTTTGGTCCGTTTTGACCTGGGACTATTTATGGTCTTGCTTTCCTCAATTTTGCTAGTTCTGGGGTTTGATGCTTCCTCCCCTAACTCTAACAAAGCTAAAATACCTCTTTCAACCATTTCCAGGATTTTTATTTTTGAGTTGATGAAGCACAGAAACAAAAATGTAACGTGCACCGTGAACCAGGCGACGCTCCAAAGCCACAAAGACAAGTTATGATTCTTGTCCCCAGAACTGTCAGCCGCCCCCCCCAGGGGGGGTGTTGGGAAGACACATGCACAGGTAGTTAGCAACCCCCCCGCCCCATGATTGCAGGATAAAGGCAAGCAGAAGGTGCTCGGAGCACAAAAGAGGGCCGTTTTAAAGAAAGCTAGGAGGGGCCCAGGAAGGCTTCCGGAGAGACACTGGTCTCTGATGCCCGTCTTGAAGGATGATGAGGGGACCACAGCGGTGTTGGCAGCATGTCAGAGGCGGGGAGGGGAGAAGGAGCACGGTCAGGAGAATGCACACTGGTGTGAGCGTGGGAGTAACACAGGTGAGACCAAGGGACGAGCAGGCCAGATGGGCCAGGACGACAGTGGGCACCGCCGGTTAAGCAGGGAGGCCATGTGGCCCATCTGCTTTTTAAGAAAGATCTCTGTGGTGGCAGGGTAGAAACTGTCCTGCAGAGACAGGAAGGCCACACATTTATAAATGTCACTTGTAGCTGAATATCTTCAAGGGATGATTTTTTTCCAAGTGTAATGGTTGCTGTCTAGAATTGGTTCTTTGAACTTCGTTTGTGTGTTGCCTTCTTTATTATGCGCACGAATCCTGGTATCTTGCACCAGGAGTATTCGGCAAACAAGGAAGAGAGAAAGAACAGGAGAGCCATGAGCACAGTGCAGGGGTGGGGGAAGCAGTGCTGGGAGGAATGTTTGCAGGTCACAGCTCACAGAACAAACAGAAATGGGCTCTTGAGGAGCAATGAGTGCTCAGGCTGCGCTGAAACTGAACAATGGTCCGCGCTGCAAAGAAGTGCAAATGTTTTCTGTCTGTTCCCTTCCTTCAGTGAAGGACAGAAAAAATAGGAAAAAATAACATCCTGAGGTTTTACAGTCAAAGTGGGGAATATTTTTCCTCCACAGACAATTGAAATGTTAAAAAAAAATTTTTTTCTTTTTTTTTTTTTTTAAGATTTTATTTATTTATTTGACAGAGAGAGACACAGCGAGAGAGGGAACACAAGCAGGGGGAGTGGGAGAGG